AGAGGATTCAACTTAAAAATAGTGGAAGAAACTTTTACCAGTAAGAATGGAACAGAGCAAACAGGGGATCGCCTCACTCTCTAAGTGCAGGGTCTAAACAGCCCTTCGCCCTTCTGGTACCACGGATTTTTTATAGGCTTTTTTAATCAAATAGGCTAAAACCATATGTTTAGGCCACTAGACTTTCTCCATTTTCACACATAAGTCTATAGAATCCCATGCAATCACGTAATTTAAATAATTGTTTGTTTTTCACTTGTATGGTAATTTTTTTATATTTAGATGTTGATATGGTAATTTTTTTATTTTTAAATAACTATCACGTAGAATTTAAAATTTTTAAATTTAAGAGCTTTATTTTCTCATTTTAGTCCTCAAAGAAATAAAGTAGTATATTAGCCTCTAAATACTTGAATTTGACTAAATTAGTCATTGTATTAATAGCAAAATCATGTGTATTCATATAAGTTAAATAATCCTTTTTTGTTTCAATTGTATGATAATTCCTTCACATTTAAATGTTGTTATAACAATTTCTTTATACTTAAATATAAGTATATATCTCAAAATTAAGAGTTAAACAATTGAGTCTCATGCGACATCATCACCTCAATGCAAGTGGAAAAAAAAAAACTATTTAACTCACATGACTATACGTGATTTCACCATTAACACAAGACTAATTTGTTCAAATTCAAGCATTCAAGAGCTAATATGCTACTTTTTTTTCTTTGAGGGCTTATGTGAAAAAATAGAGAAAGTCTAGAAGCTTTAACACTAGTTTTTGCCTTTAACACAAGCAATAATAATAAATATAAGACAACAATATAATACTAAAAAGTACAAGATTTTGGTTAAGATTACAAGCTTCATGAACTCAACTAATATTTGATAAAGCATGTCCTGTCTACCAATATTTTGTAGGATTAGATATCTCAGATTAATTAAGACATCATTTGATACACTCAAACACTTATAGTTATTTACAGCACAACCAAATCATTGATTTTTTTAGAAATTTTTTATCATCTATAAAAAAAAAAAAAATTCAATAATTATAAATAGAATGACACTATTCTTCTCACTTTTTTTTTTTTTTTGTATGAAACAAGGCAATTATATAATCCTATCCTATAGTGGGAAGGAGTTACCTCTGGGAATCAAACCCAAGACCAAAGGCAGATGCATAGTAAATGGGCAAAAAACACTATTATGTTCAATGTTCCTCCTTCCCCCTCTTTCCCCCACATCGCAGCAGTGCTCTGAAAACTGAAACTGAAAGCGCGAGTTGAGTTCGGCTTCGGCCGCTTATTTGTGTTTGGGCTCAACGGGGTGTCAAAGATTATTGGGCCGAGCTTACTTGCATGGCTTTCCGATCAATCCGGATCTCAGAGGCCTAGTTAAGAAGGCCCAGATGTAAACCACTAGCGTGATTTTCTTAAATTAAACTGAATGGTGGTGTGGGTGTGGGTGTGGGTGTGGGTGTGGGTGTGGGTCAGCAATCAAACAGGGTGGTTGGTGGACCATGATCCGATGCCAGCAGGAGGGCCCACAACTCGCCATCAAAACTATCATCAGATTCAAAGCTATTAGTTTAGGTTAAATGTCAATTTTGGTCCCTCAACTTAAGGTTTTGCATAATTTTCATCCTTTAACTTTTTTTGTATTTTTTAATCCCTTAACTATGAAAAATATACTTTTTTAATCCTTCCGTCAGTTCATTAAGTCTACATGAATCTGCATATTTTTAGTTCCTCAACTTCTAATATATTCATATTTTTCATCTCTTAACTTAAAGTTGAGGAATTAAAAATGTACAAATCTAGATAGATTTAACGGATTAACTGACGAAAAATTAAAAAAAAGTGCATTTTTTATAGTTAAGGGATAAAAATGCAAAAAAAAATTGAAAGATGAAAATTATATAAAAGCTTAAAGTTAAAAAACCAAAATTAACATTTAACCTAAGGGGAGAAGTCCTCCTGGTCCAATGGTGTAAAAGACAATCAAACTTTTAATAGGGGTATCAAATTTGGGTTTTAACCTTGTGTTCAAAAAAGTTTAAAAGAGAGTAATTAAGGATAATATTTTTATATAATTTTAATATGTTATTTAATGAAAAAATATATTTAATATTATAGATTTTAAATAAATAAAAAAATTATTAATCATTTATTTAATACATAAAATTATAAAAAAATAATAAAAAAATTTATTCCTGAATTATTCTTCTCAATTTAAGTTTAGGACTTAGGTTAGATCCCTACTCTCAGGGTTTCCATGTCAAAAAGAAAGAAAGAAAGAAAGAAAGAAAAATATATATATTAGGTCCCCACTCTCACGGTTTCCTTATCAAAAAAACACACTAGCATATGAAGGTGTGGTTATGGCACTTACACTTGTTAGGTAGATATATATCTAGTTTTTTTTTCTTTTAAATAAATAGTTATAGTATTTCAAAATATTATTTTTTAAGTTAATTTTCATTTGTTAATTAATAATGATTATAAATAAGGAAAATTTTATTTACATACAAATTTTATATATTATATTTACATAAAATCTTAACAATTTATTATGATTTTTTAGATAAAAAATATTTATTTTTAATAAACATAAATAAATCTTAATTATTACAAGTGAAAAGATACATAGTTAAGATTTTGTATAAATATAGTATATAAAACTTATATATAAACAAACATCTATTCATTATAAATTATTTTATCAAAATTAATATTTATAATTATCAATTATTTTTAATTTAATAATTAAATTAAATTAATGTTTTTTAAAATAATATCAAAATTTTATATAACTATACTAATTCTACGCATGGCGGTAACCATATATACCCGCCATCGCCATCAAGCCTCACATGGGACTATATATGGTACTAAGAGCACATAGACACATACAAACCTAACTGGCCAACTGCAATAATGAGAAAACTATATTTGTTTACCTGAATGATCCGGTTAGAATAATCTTGTTCGGTCGAAAATAAATCTAAAAAATTGTAATCCACTTTATTCCCCTGCGTGGCCTAATGGTACCACTGCAGTTCAAAAGAATTGTCGGTGGAATGCACCCCGACCAATAGTTGAATCTTGTCAAAAAGTAACGTACTAATTTCTAACTCCTAACTTTTAATCATTATCCTTGTTAAAAAATAATAAAAAAAAAAACATATGTACTGCAGGCTGACGGTTATGCAGATCCTCATCGATATCATGGTTTGCATCGTCTGGAGCCATGATTGATGGATCGACGTCGCTACTGGAACTGTGGTTGCGGCTGTTGTTGCTGATGACTACACTGTTGTTATCGGCAGGTTCGGTGGTGCACTGCTTCTTGATAGAAGATGCAAGCGGGAGCGTGCTTTCGTTGTTGTCGCTTTAATTTTGTTTGAGCAAATTAGCTGCTCGGTTAATGATATAATTGCGTCCTATCACGTAATTTAATTAATTTTTTTTTCACTTGTACGATAATTATTTTACATTTAGATATTGATATAAAAAAATTTTTACATTTAAATACTTATAGTATAAAGTTCAAAATTTTCAAAATTAAGAGTTTTATTTTCTTACATTAGCCCTCAAAGAAATAAGGTAATATATGAGCCTCTAAATGCCTGAATTTGACCAAATTAATCATTGTATTAATGGTGAAATTATATTCCATTACATAAGTACAACAACTATTTTTTTTTAGGTTAAATGCTAGATTTGGTCCCTCAACTTTAGTGGTTTGCATATTTTTGGTCCCTTAACAATTTTTTGTACTTTTTTGATCCCTCAACTATACGAAATGCACTCCGTTAGTCCTTCTGTTAATTTCGACCGTTAACTCGCTTATGTGGCATTTTTTATAATTTTTTTAATGACGTGGCAAAGACAAATTAAAAACATGATAGACGTGGAATTTTTTTTATGCCAACTCACATTATTACTTTTCTTCTTCCTTTCTCT